AATATTATCATAAAGGTCTTTGTGGCTTCATCAGGGTTACTACATGCAAATGTTTGATATTAGAATATTATCATAAAGGTCTTTGTGGCTTCATCAGGATTACTACATACAAATGTTTGATATTAGAATATTATCATAAAGGTCTTTGTGCCTTCATCAGGATTACTACATACAAATGTTTGATATTAGAATATTATCATAAAGGTCTTTGTGCCTTCATCAGGGTTACTACATACAACTGTTTGATATTAGAATGTTATCATAAAGGTCTTTGTGGCTTCATCAGGGTTACTACATACAAATGTTTGGTATTAGAATATTATCATAAAGGTCTTTGTGGCTTCATCAGGGTTACTACATACAAATGTTTGATATTAGAATATTATTATAAAAGTTGTTGTTTTTTCTAAACTTTTTATCAAAATGTGTTATTTTGACATTTTTTATAATAAACCAAACAGATAACAGTGATCGAATACCCTATGCAACAGACAGTGTTACTTTGACACTTCTTTTGTGAAATATTCTACTTCAAACGACAGAAGCTGTTACTTCGTTAATCTATATAATTATGTCAACAGACAACAAAAATGTACTAAAAACGTCAAAGTGAGAATGCTACTCTACAATATATCACGTAGACTTCCTATTTCTAACTATTTTGATAAAAGTTCCAAAGTGCTAGCTCAGTTATTATAGGTTTTATGGAGTATGTTATTCAGTTATTATAGGTTTTATGGAGTAAGTTGTTCAGTTGATATTGGTTTTATAGAGTATGTTATTCAGTTATTATAGGTTTTATGGAGTAAGTTGTTCAGTTGATATTGGTTTTATGGAGTATGTTATTCAGTTAGTATTGGTTTATGGAGTAGGTTGTTCAGTTAATATTGGTTTTATGGAGTATGTTGTTCAGTTAATATTGGTTTTATGGAGTATGTTGTTCAGTTAGTATTGGTTTTATGGAGTATGTTGTTCAGTTAGTATTGGTTTTATAGAGTATGTTGTTCAGTTAGTATTGGTTTTATGGAGTATGTTGTTCAGTTTGTATTGGTTTTATGGAGTATGTTGTTCAGTTAGTATTGGTTTTATGAGTATGTTGTTCAGTTAGTATTGGTTTTATGGAGTATATTGTTCAGTTAATATTGGTTTTATGGAGTATGTTGTTCAGTTAGTATTGGTTTTATGGAGTATGTTGTGTGAAGAAACGAAACATTGACATTAAAACTGTTTTACACCACACAACTTTATGCCCCTTATATGAAATATATGTTCCATTTTCCCACTAACATATTAAGCTGTTGTAACCTAGGTTTGTGAGCTCAGGGACTGAATGAAACTCTTCCTTAAAAGAGGTCTACAAGAAGTAAAGTTAAGTTCAAGTGATATTTTTACACTTTTATTTTAAAGAACTGGAACCTCGTATGGATGGGGCTGGTTAACTGCCACCAGTTAAAAATACTTATCATAATATTTAATTTAATGATTTATTCAGCTTGTTGGATAATATGTGAAATATCCAGTTAGTTTAAAATTGGAATTTGAAGAAAAAAATACTTTTAAACGAATTTAACGACAGTTAGTGTTCACGTACTATTCTGTTAAACTAAAATTAGAGGAAACTCCTTATAAAATACTCTAAGTGATCTGTTTGAAGTATAACTTTCAATGAATCGAGATTCATTGTATTTCTATGGGTTTAAGCGAACATGATTTATTTAGTATTGTATTTTTTTTACTGGTGCATTAACAGCTGCTAACCCTAAAGTTCATTGTTTTTCTATTAGGCGGTACTTTGAATCATTTTGCACGTTGTATAGAAACGAAAAGCAACTTTGTGATGTTCTTACTATGTACACAACTGTATGTTTTGATGAATTAACAGGGAAAGATTACAGCTCAAGGAAAACTATTGCGTCAGGGAAAGCTGATGGTCAGTGACCCTTCTTGTAACGGTAAACTCAAAGAGAGACAAGTTTTCGTCTTTGAACAGATAATCATCTTCAGCGAACCGGAGGGAAAAACAACCCAATTCTATCATCCAGTCTACTTCTATAAAAATCACTTGATGGTAAGATGAGTTGTTATGAAACTTTTTCAGTATTTGTGTATAAAAGTGAATCAGATCAGAATGAATATTATTACGGTAAACATTTATCATAATATATTGTTGTTGTGTTTTTTTTTGTTTTTACACTCTTAGGAAACATGTCTGCTTTGTTACAATATGTTTTACCCGAAAAATAGACGGTTTAGCACCAGTAATTAAGCTAATAATTAAAATTACCAACTTTGTCTCACGTGAATAGTCTTTGATTTTCATATGTATATTTCGTTGTGTTTATGTATATAATCACTCTGATTGCGCCAGGCATTTTGGTTTAAAACCAGGGACAGTCAGGGATCATTCGATACCTCTTCAACTCACAAGTGGTTTAAGGATTTTTGGGTATCCCAGCCGATCGGATGAGCCCTGGTATTTGGCGAAAGGCCTCGTCAGCACTGGATATGGCAGGTGTAGTGTGGCTGACATATTGTAACGAATCTTCGTTTGCTTTCACTCCTAGGCTCCTAGAATTACATTGTTCAAATATGGGGTTCGATTCCTCACAGTGGACGGCACGAATGTGACCTGTTGTATATCGTTGCACACTAAAACAAGAAACACACACACACACGCCTTGTTCTACATAAATGGAAAGTAATGATCGTTGCACACTAAAACAAGAAACACACACACACACATGCCTTGTTCTACATAAATGGAATGGAATGATCGTTGCACACTAAAACAAGAAACACACACACACACACCTTGTTCTACATAAATGGAAAGTAATGATCGTTGCACACTAAAACAAGAAACACACACACACACACACATGCCTTGTTCTACATAAATGGAAAGTAATGATCGTTGCACACTAAAACAAGAAACACACACACATGCCTTGTTCTACATAAATGGAAAGTAATGATCGTTGCACACTAAAACAAGAAACACACACACATGCCTTG